ACAGGATGGGATTTAGAACATAGATAGATATAAGGGCCTCTAACAAGAAGGTATGGTCATCATGCACGTGCACACACGTGCGTGCATTTGGAACGAGTGAAATTAAAAATACACTTGAATGAGTGATTTTTCATACTTTTGGACTAAATGCTTTAATAAAAACTATATTTAAATATATAGAAAGTGTAGACAAGATTATATGATCATTATGCACGTGCATTCACATGGGCAGGCGTGCAATGTTAAAATTTGAATATAATTGGTATCCTTTTGGGAAAACGTTGTTAAAGTCAAAAATGTACAGATGCTGTCTTATTTTATAAGGCTTACAGGGAATATGGCACCAAAAGGGAGTTGGGGAGCGTTTGGGGAACATCTGTAACGGTTCCCGTTACAATTAGCACTAGTTATTATTATTTTTTTTCTTATTTGTTCTCCGGTACTTTTTTGTCCGCGAGTGTTCTCAGAAACTGTTCACCCAACTGAGCTAAAACCTTTTTAGGGTTAATAGGTGTGTAGTGTAGGTGTGCGGAACGAAGGTCATTTTGCGCGCATACGCCTGCACGTGCGTGCGCGTGAAATGAGTGAATTGACTGATATACTTAATATAGCTATAACTTTTACATTTTTTGATGAAATGCTTTGAAACTCATTACATAAGGATATATTAAAAGTGTTAATAATATGACACTGTCAAATTAGCATGAACTCACGCGCATGCACGTGCGCCTTCCTCTGATTGGCTGAAACAAAAATCTCAATATCTCTTTTGTTTTCCGACGAAATGCTTCAAAATTTTTAACATTGTCATGAATTAGGATATTCTACAATATAATATAGAAAAAATTTCAAGAAATTACGCGCATGCACGTGTGCTGCGATCTGATTGGCTGAAACTTTAAATGGCTATATCTCCTTTATTTTTTGACGAAATGCTTTGAAATTTAAAACATAGACATTTATTAGGATATCCTACAATGCGATATAAAAAAAATCATGAAATCACGCGCATGCACGTGTGCTGCAATCTGATTGGCTGAAACTTGAAATGGCTATAACTCCCTTGTTTTTCAACCAAACAGGATGAGATTCAGAACATAGATAAATATAAGGGACTCCTACAAGAAGGTATGGTCATCATGCACGTGCGTGTCATGCACGTGCACGCACGTGCGTGCATTTGGAACAAATGAAATTAGAAATACACTTGAATGAGTGATTTTTAATACTTTTGCACTGAATGCTTTCATAGATACTATATTACAGGGAATATGGCACTAAAAGGGAGTTGGGGAGCGTTTGGGGAACATCTGTAACGGTTCCCGTTACAATTAGCACTAGTTATCATTATGTCGCCCCGAACGAAGTCGGGGACGACATATTGATATTGTACGCCTGTTTTTTTTATCCAGGCTGTTTCTCGGAGATGGCTGGGACAATCTTCCTGAAACTTTCCTCAAAGGACGATCACTGTTTGTAGTTGTGCAGTGAGGTCGTTCAGTTCCAATATGTCTACCGTTGCCATGGAAACCTGTAAAAAGCGACAAATTTTGTCCGAGAGTGTTCTCTCTGGTCCCTTAAACGTTCGTCATGAAACTTTTCTTATTTTAATGATTAGTATCTGTAGTTGTGTAACTCGCATTTAAAATTTTCAAATAATCGATTATTGCCATGGAAACCAGATGAAAGTTAAAATTCTTTAATTTCGATTTTCTCAATAACTAAGCAGCCAATTGTTTTGAAACTTTTAATGTTTATTCCTTGCAATGTGTCAAAGTGATTTATACTTTTAAAATAATTGTAATGAGTCGCTCACAGTTGCCATAGAAACAAACAGAAAAAAGAGATTCAGATGTACACATGTGTTCTCCAAGGTCTAGGTCAAAGGGTCAAAGTTCGTCGTATCCAATAAAAGTTCTTTTCACAAGGATTACATATTTGAAATACAAAAGCCCTAGCACTTACCGTTCAAACGTTATGGCTATGTACTATGTTCATGACGCCCCCCCCCCCCTTTTGAAGCACACAGCCAGGTAGAATACACAGATTTAACATATACAACTTACAAGAAGCTTTTAAAAATCTTCATTCATAAAACTCTGTTTCCGTCATATGATATTTTGCCATCATTCATTCTCCTTCTGTTTTGTCTCTTGAATTTATAAATATTTTATTTTATCTATATAAAAAAAATTAACGATTGTCAGCTGCATTTATTATCATTTCGCGTTTTCTTGTATATTTATTAATTGTATATTATTCATTTCATTAGATAGTGCAAGTATAAATTAAAAGATTGGTACGTCATTTCCATAGTTTTTATTCATTCATAAATCCTTTGATCCGCCCCTGTAGGTTCGCAAAGCCTTGATCACCACTGTATACAAAACATTCATCTCGCCGAAAATGTTCATGATTCCGCTAAACTGAGAAAGTTTACACATGATTTATCATTTCACAACAAACATCAGCTCTCTGCAATGCAGAAATGCTCGAATTGAAGGGGAAAATTCAGGAGTTATTGATGAGAAAAATTCAGAAGTTATTATGTCGCCCCGAACGAAGTCGGGGACGACATATTGATATTGTACGCCTGTTTTTTTTATCCAGGCTGTTTCTCGGAGATGGCTGGGACAATCTTCCTGAAACTTTCCTCAAAGGACGATCACTGTTTGTAGTTGTGCAGTGAGGTCGTTCAGTTCCAATATGTCTACCGTTGCCATGGAAACCTGTAAAAAGCGACAAATTTTGTCCGAGAGTGTTCTCTCTGGTCCCTTAAACGTTCGTCATGAAACTTTTCTTATTTTAATGATTAGTATCTGTAGTTGTGTAACTCGCATTTAAAATTTTCAAATAATCGATTATTGCCATGGAAACCAGATGAAAGTTAAAATTCTTTAATTTCGATTTTCTCAATAACTAAGCAGCCAATTGTTTTGAAACTTTTAATGTTTATTCCTTGCAATGTGTCAAAGTGATTTATACTTTTAAAATAATTGTAATGAGTCGCTCACAGTTGCCATAGAAACAAACAGAAAAAAGAGATTCAGATGTACACATGTGTTCTCCAAGGTCTAGGTCAAAGGGTCAAAGTTCGTCGTATCCAATAAAAGTTCTTTTCACAAGGATTACATATTTGAAATACAAAAGCCCTAGCACTTACCGTTCAAACGTTATGGCTATGTACTATGTTCATGACGCCCCCCCCCCCTTTTGAAGCACACAGCCAGGTAGAATACACAGATTTAACATATACAACTTACAAGAAGCTTTTAAAAATCTTCATTCATAAAACTCTGTTTCCGTCATATGATATTTTGCCATCATTCATTCTCCTTCTGTTTTGTCTCTTGAATTTATAAATATTTTATTTTATCTATATAAAAAAAATTAACGATTGTCAGCTGCATTTATTATCATTTCGCGTTTTCTTGTATATTTATTAATTGTATATTATTCATTTCATTAGATAGTGCAAGTATAAATTAAAAGATTGGTACGTCATTTCCATAGTTTTTATTCATTCATAAATCCTTTGATCCGCCCCTGTAGGTTCGCAAAGCCTTGATCACCACTGTATACAAAACATTCATCTCGCCGAAAATGTTCATGATTCCGCTAAACTGAGAAAGTTTACACATGATTTATCATTTCACAACAAACATCAGCTCTCTGCAATGCAGAAATGCTCGAATTGAAGGGGAAAATTCAGGAGTTATTGATGAGAAAAATTCAGAAGTTATTATGTCGCCCCGAACGAAGTCGGGGACGACATATTGATATTGTACGCCTGTTTTTTTTATCCAGGCTGTTTCTCGGAGATGGCTGGGACAATCTTCCTGAAACTTTCCTCAAAGGACGATCACTGTTTGTAGTTGTGCAGTGAGGTCGTTCAGTTCCAATATGTCTACCGTTGCCATGGAAACCTGTAAAAAGCGACAAATTTTGTCCGAGAGTGTTCTCTCTGGTCCCTTAAACGTTCGTCATGAAACTTTTCTTATTTTAATGATTAGTATCTGTAGTTGTGTAACTCGCATTTAAAATTTTCAAATAATCGATTATTGCCATGGAAACCAGATGAAAGTTAAAATTCTTTAATTTCGATTTTCTCAATAACTAAGCAGCCAATTGTTTTGAAACTTTTAATGTTTATTCCTTGCAATGTGTCAAAGTGATTTATACTTTTAAAATAATTGTAATGAGTCGCTCACAGTTGCCATAGAAACAAACAGAAAAAAGAGATTCAGATGTACACATGTGTTCTCCAAGGTCTAGGTCAAAGGGTCAAAGTTCGTCGTATCCAATAAATGTTCTTTTCACAAGTATTACATATTTGAAATACAAAAGCCCTAGCACTTACCGTTCAAACGTTATGGCTATGTACTATGTTCATGACGCCCCCCCCCCTTTTGAAGCACACAGCCAGGTAGAATACACAGATTTAACATATACAACTTACAAGAAGCTTTTAAAAATCTTCATTCATAAAACTCTGTTTCCGTCATATGATATTTTGCCATCATTCATTCTCCTTCTGTTTTGTCTCTTGAATTTATAAATATTTTATTTTATCTATATAAAAAAAATTAACGATTGTCAGCTGCATTTATTATCATTTCGCGTTTTCTTGTATATTTATTAATTGTATATTATTCATTTCATTAGATAGTGCAAGTATAAATTAAAAGATTGGTACGTCATTTCCATAGTTTTTATTCATTCATAAATCCTTTGATCCGCCCCTGTAGGTTCGCAAAGCCTTGATCACCACTGTATACAAAACATTCATCTCGCCGAAAATGTTCATGATTCCGCTAAACTGAGAAAGTTTACACATGATTTATCATTTCACAACAAACATCAGCTCTCTGCAATGCAGAAATGCTCGAATTGAAGGGGAAAATTCAGGAGTTATTGATGAGAAAAATTCAGAAGTTATTATGTCGCCCCGAACGAAGTCGGGGACGACATATTCATAGTTCCGACACGTCAATCAAACTAATTTTATTAGCAAATCAGATTGTTCCGTATAATTAGTCAGAGAAGCGCTTCGATCGGCCGCCATGTTGTCCCACAAACAAACCTTGGGCAAGTTGTGGGAAGTTTAAGTTTTTGTTAAGAAATGGTATTGCGGTGTGCGTGGGGGACGTGTAATGTTGACGAGAGATATCCTGAGAGGTTACAGAACGGTGTTAAGCTTATTTTGTTCCCCAAACCGAAAACTAATCTCCAGAAATGTCTTCGGTGGATCAAAGCTTGCGGACGTCCACACGAACAGTTGAACATTCAGAGAATAAACAAACACAAAGCTGTTTGTTCAAAGGTACTGCTGGTTATAATTTAATGTTTATGATTGTTGTGCACACTGAGTCTTATAATATTAGCTGTATACACTACAAATTTTGGCCGAGAACTACAGGAATATACCACCTGCATGCCCATGATGCTGCATACCGTGGAAATTCGGAATGCATCGATCAGGTCCAGAACAATCAGTGCATTTAGCTACGTAGGTAGAATTACCTACGTAGCTTTATTTACCTACCTCAGGTAGCTTGATTTAGCTACCAGATGAATTTATTTCTATAAAAAAGCATTTTTCTCAGGATGTGCAAAAACTATGATTTTGATGCAGTGATCATTTTCAACTTTGAACTCATCTGAAAACAATTCATGAAAATTTCCCTCTTGAAGAGATGTCTTTTTCTGCGCAATTGCAATCAAAGTTCTGAAAGTTTTGGGGCTATGAATGACAGTTAGAACAGTTACTCCTTGAATGAAATGACAAAGAAGTCCAGTTCTGGTTGACATGATAATAGGTCGGTAATTATTCAGCACAATGTGAAGTAATCATACTCAGTCATGCCTCACCAAACGGACAGATAACCAAACAATGGAATTACATGTTTTGCTCTAAATTGACCAAACACAGTGATGTTTAAACTATCTCTGCTTTGGAATCTTTTTTAAAGTCTCCCTAGTATAAATACCAATAGTCATTTAAGTGCGATTTTTTGTCTCTTTTCCATAAAAAGAAAAGTTACATTGAAATAGCTAAATAAAGCTACCTGAGGTAGGTAAATAAAGCTACGTAGGTAAATCTACCTACGTAGCTAAATGTACTGATTGTACTGGACCTGTCGATATTACACGTCTTTGTAAATTTGGGCTATTTTATTCATATTGCAAGAGATGGTAATTGATATCTGTATGTGTATGTTGTAGTTTCCTATATAGGCTTTTTCAAAACGGTGATATTTATGTGTGTTTTACTGTTGTTATTGTTTATTTACTTAATGAATTTTAAACCATATGGTTTGTCATTGAGGTTAATGTTACTGAATTATTTACAGCATTTTGTGGGAGGTAATGGACCAACTGTTGAATTTCCTGACCCATTACAAGCTGATGGATCAGCTGTTCGACCGACCAGGCCACCTCCAAAACGGACTAGCACATTCACCGAGAGTAACCCAGTGTCTAAGAAAAAAAGACTTCTACGGTAAAAACCCACAAATTGACAATCTTGAGTTTTTGGGAGGTAATGACCAGCAATTGACTAATTCCATCATGTCGATCACGACATATCCATCGTAAAGTATACCAACTACCATACTGTTAAAGTGATTTCCTTAGTACCATCAAAGAGTGAAAAAACTTAACATCTAAAATAGTCGCTGCAAATTACACCAGAGACCTTTAGGTCTCAGATGATCACGTGTGATGTATCATAATTTATGTTTATTACTTTAATCTTCTAAATTTTTCATTTTGGTAACTTCATGCACACTACATTTGCCATTATAATCAGCTTGTAGATTTTGGTCATTACAATGCAAAAGCAGAATCTTTCTTTATCCATATTTTTGTAATTATTTTTATTTATAGTACAACAGATATAGAAGAACAAGGAGAAGATTTGAACTCTACAACAGAAACTGAAACATCAAACAACACCAACAGTGGTAACAACATATCTGTACAAACAGAAGAACCTTGTAAGCATTCAAAAATTTCCAAGTTACCTAACTTAATTTTGTACTGTTTGTTTAGCAAGAAACGGCTCTGCGTAAGTTTTGAAAAAAACACACAATTTTTCCAACATAGTGGTCATAAACGGAAGGTCGGGCTGTATTCTCTCCACAAAGATATCTTTCTGTGTGAAAACAACAAAATCACAAAATGCACAACCTGTGATCATGAGCTGTCCCTGAATTTGTGCATAATGTGCATGATTTTTTTTCAGTGTGATTTCATTGTTTTTACACAGAAAGAAATCTCGCACATTCTCACATGCCTCCGCAATTGTCATATTCCTTGCAGAATATGGACATTTTACCTCGATAAGACCGCAGTGACCATTGTCACACACCTTACCGTCGGGAGTTGCCCCTAAAAAGGCAAATTCCTTGTTAATAACTAGCCCACAAGTGTGGATGTGCCTAGCTGGAAAGTCTTTTAAGTATCTAGACTTTGCATCCTTTTCGTGGATTTTACCATATTCTAGGGAAGGAGCGGAAATCTTTTTAATGTTAAATATGCTTCCCAGAAACTTGTCATTAGGGGTCGACTTTCTTTGCAAAATTTTCCCAAAATTAGATGCAGTCAAACGATTCTTTCTTTCATTGTACCATTGTGCTGAATCACTTTGTTCTCTTGTATACAGTTCGATTTTAATGGGATCACACTCTTTGTATTTCAAATTCAAATCTATATACTCTTGTGGCAATGGTACAGGGGCTGGGTGGAATACATCAGTATTGCCACAACCATCTGACATGGGTGGCTCAACCTCCTTAATGTTATTTGTCTGAAAAAAAACTCCACTATGTATAAAACTGAAGTGTAAGTAAGAATCAGATTGAAATATATCTTTTATTTTTTTAGGGATTTCTCCAATTGAGATGTTTGCGATGGCAACTGAGCTACGTGTGTTAAGAGAAAAAGAGAAGCAGCACGAAGCTACAATCTGCACCCTGAAAGAGGAAATAAAGGAACTTAAAGACAAACTATCATCTGAGAATCAGAAGCCATCGTTTGGAGTCGACGAAGTGAAAAGAAGAGAGGGAAAATTGAAAAATTTGTTCAAATATTACACTGGCATTGTATATATAAGATTTGCTGGTCTTTTGGCATTTTTAGTCTCTGATGAATCATCAGTAAATTATGAAAAAGGTCGAAAAGACATTAAAAAGTTGTCACTGCAAGATGGACTCTTTTTAACTTTATGTAGACTGAGACATAACTTTGGTTTGAAAGATTTGTCAGTTAGGTTCAAACTATCATTGCAGTCATCTGGAATTGTATTTAATACTTGGATTTCATTGATGTATTTTAAGTTGGGTCAACTTTGTATTTGGCCTCATCGTGATATAATTATTTATAACATGCCTAAAGATTTTAAAAATGATTACCCCACTACTTTGGTAATTATTGATGGTACTGAATTTAGAACACAAGCACCATGTGCACTTGGTTTGCAAAGTCAGCTATACAGTGATTATAAGTCTAGTACTACTTTGAAAGCTTTAATTGGTTGTGATCCAAATGGTTCTGTGATTTTTGCATCAGAATTGTTTACAGGATGTATATCAGATAAACAAATTTGTGAACAGTCTGGATTTTACAATGTTCTTGAATCACTAAAATTAAAAGGTTACATAAAAGATGGGGATGCTATTATGGCTGATAAAGGGTTCACTATTAAAGAGGAATTAAGTAATTTAAATTTGGTATTGAATATTCCACCAATGGCTTCATCAACATGCCAGATGTCAGTTTCAGACACTGTGCTTACTGAGAAGATTGCAAAGCATCGTGTGCACATTGAAAGACTTATCGCAAAGGTTAAAACTTACAAAATGCTCTCTGTTCGCATTCCTACATCATTATTTAAAAACATTAACAAAATTTGGTCTGTATGTTGTCACTTGACTTTATTCCATGATGTGTTTGTCACAGACAGTAAAAATTGTAGTAAATAACATTATTTATGTAAATCGTTACAGAAAAAAATCAAATTGTGACCATCTTTCTGTTAGAAATGTTGAAGAAACTGAATGCTTAATATGTATAAAGAGCAGTTTTTAGCCAACGAGAAGAAGTCGGGGTAGCTTATATATACAATTTAATATTTTTAATATTATGATATTGATAGTCTTGTACAGGTGATGCCCCAATTCTGTATTCTGTGTAATCTTTCAATACATATGTTAATGTAATAATTTTTGTACCTGATATGACAATATTGAGCCTATCTGCACATCACCAAGGGGGGTGTTTACAAGTGGGTGATCTGCTGATATTGTATACTCTAGAGGGGTTCCCTTTAACAAACTCAGCTGCTTTATATCACTTGTGGACACTTTGGGAAGTCTATTATTAAAATATAATAAATGAATCAAGATTTGTTTTTATTTATCTTATAATGAAAACTTATCATTCAACTTAATATGTATGTATATATATATATTGTTTTACAATATCTTGAATTGCATCTTGAGTAAACAAGTGCAAAATGCAATGGCCAAGAAAAGAAAAAAAATTATCTAGGATTTCACATACTCTTGATCTAAGTCAATCTGGCATGTGACAGGTTTTCGTTTTCGGGATTCTGTGGGCCTTGCCACCACTAAATGGTTGATTGGAACAGGCTTAATTTTTGAACCCCTGGGCACATGCCACTGCTGTGGTATACTTGTACAGCTTTGCTGTTCGGGTACATTGGAAAAGTTATGAAGTTTGAATCCCTGCAAACTTTTTATAAGGCCAACTATATGAGAGCAGTGACCATTTAAGCTGTAAGAAAGTATATCAGATGAGCATGAATAATTGTCATTATCTATTAAAAAAAATTGTGCATGATTTTTCTTTAAAAAAATGTTTTGGCAACAATAAAAGAAAACTGGATAAGTCAACTGTTTCTGTTTAAAATCATGGCCTTATCACATTAAATTCGGTAATATATTTACTATAAATTACACACTCGAATCAGGAAATGAATTAAGAAATGAGATAATAAATTGTTTAATTATGCTGTTTCATATTTAAGGAATTTTTCATTCATAACGCATGCAACAGCTGTCGCAAAAAATTACGTCACTACAGTAATGTTTACATTTTTTCAATACACAACTGCCGTTTCATTCGCATCATTTTCTTGTGAAATACGTAAAAAGTGAGTGTTACTTGTAATTTTTATTAAACACATACCCAACTTTACAGGAACAATGCGACTCAATGATTGAATCATTTTTGATTTCCAAATGAAGTCGATGCGGTGATTGATTTTTCCGCATCGATCTCCAGCATCGTGCTGTAGCTTGCACGGACTCATCAGAGTTAAAAATCTTAATATCATGAATGTACCCTTGCGTAAAGTAATTTAACCCCTTTTGCAAAACTTTTTCTGACAAATTTGAGTTATTTGGCAAATATTTCACACAAAAATCGTCTGGAATAGACTTGAGACTGTCAGTCGCGACATTCGCTGCTGTACCCGACATCGCCATAATGTGGGACTTAGTAACGGTAGCTAGGGTGGGCGGAGCTACGGAAGACAAGTCGGAACTAGTGCTAATTGTAACAGGGACCGTTACAGATGTTCCCCAAACGATCCCCAACTCCCTTTTGGTGCCATTTTCCTGGGAGCTTCATAAAATAAGACAAACTCGATGCCTTTGAAACTTTAACAACGTTTATTAAGAAGTGTAGAAAGTTCATTTAAATTTTAGCATTGCACGCGTGCGCATGTGAATGCATGTGCGTAATGACCATATCATCTTGTCTACACAATCTATATATTTTAATATACTAAACATTAAAGTATTTAATCCAAAAGTATTTTAAAAAGTTAGCTCATTCAAGTGTTTTTTATTTTGCTCATTTCACGTGCGCACGCACGTGCATGCATGAGCATAATGACCATACCTTCTTGTAGATGTCCGTTACATCTATCTTTGTTCTAAATCCCATCCCGTTTGGTTGAAAACCAAGGGAGTTATAGTTGTTTAAAGTTTCAACCAATCAGATTGCAGCGCAAGTACATGCACGTGTATGTATGTGCATGGTGACCATATTTTTTTGTTGTAGTCAAATATATCTATCTATGTTCCAAATCTCATCCTGTTTGGTTGAAAATTAAGGGAGTTATAGTTATTTAAAGTTTAAGCCAATCAGATTGCAGCGCACGTGCATGCACGTGTTTTCATGATAATTGCTATATATCATGTTGTAGGATATCCTAATGCATGGCTATTTTCAAAATTTCTAAGGATTTCATCAAAAAACAAGAAAGATATTGAGACTTTAGTTTCAGCCAATCAGAGCAAAATGCACGTGCATGCACGTGAGATCTTGCTATTTTGACCATGTCATATTGTCTATGCTACTAATATATCCTTATATTATAAGTTTCAAAGCATTTCATCAAAAATTTAAAAAGTTACGCCTATATCAATTAAATCGGCCATTTCACATGTTGCACGTGCACGCTCTTGCAAGCACGTGCGCGCAAAATGACCTTCATTCCGCAAATCTACATAACATGTCTACTGACCCTAAAAAAATTTCACCTTGGTCGGATGTATAGTTTACAAGATCATTCCCGGACAAAAAAGTACCCAGGAAGAAGAAGAAGAAGAAAAATAATAATAACTAGTGCTAATTGTAACGGGGACCGTTACAGATGTTCCCCAAACGCTCCCCAACTCCCTTTTGGTGCCATATTCCCTATAAGCTTCATTAAATAAGACAAACTCTACGCATTTGAGACTTTAACAACGTTTACCCAGAAGTGTACCAATTTCATTCAAATTTTAGCATTGCACGCGTGCGCATGTGAATGCATGTGCGTAATGACCATACAATCTTGTCTTTACAATCTATAGATTTTAATATACTAAATATCAAAGTATTTAATCCAAACGTATTAAAAAATACGCTAATTCAAGTGTATTTTTGATTTTACTCATTTCACGTGCACGCACGTGCTCACATGAGCATGGCGACCATACTTTCTTGTAGAAGCCCATTACATCTATCTATGTTCTAAATCCCACCCCGTTTGGTTGAAAACCAAGGGAGTTATAGATGTTCAAAGTTTCAGCCAATCAGATTGCAGCGCACGTACATGCACGTGTATGCATGTGCATGGTGACCATGTCTTCTTGTAGAAGTCCATTATATCTATCTATGTTCCAAATCCCATCCTGTTTGGTTGAAAACCAAGGGAGTTATAGCTATTTAAAGCATAAGCCAATCAGATTGCAGTGCACGTGCATGCACGCGTTTTCAAAATGATTGCTATATATCTTATTGTAGGATATCCTAATGCATGTCTATATTTAAAATTTCAAAGGATTTCGTCAAAAAACAAGAAAGATATTGAGACTTTAGTTTCAGCCAATCAGAGCAAAGCGCATGTGCATGCGCGTGAGATCTTGCTTTTTTGACCATGTCATCTTGTCTATGCTTCTAATATATACTTCTAATATGAGTTTTAAAGCATATCATCAATAATTTAAATAGTCACGTCTGTATCAATTATATTGGACATTTCTCGTGTTGCACGTGCGAGCTCTTGCAAGCACACGTGCATGCACATGCTTTCATGATATTTCTTTTATTACGGGCTGTAGATCTCCCTAATGTATGACTATGTTCAAAATTTCAAATGATTTTATCAAAAAACAAGAAAGATATTGAGACTTTAGTTTCAGCCAATCAGAGCGAAGCGCACGTGCTTGCACGTGCGATCTTGCTATTTTGACCATGTCATCTTGTGCATACTACTCATATATCCTTACATTATGAGTTTCAAAACATTTCGTCTAAAAATAGAAAAGTTACGGTTATATCCATTATATATTGGTCATTTCAAGTTTTGCACGTGCGCGCTCTTGCAAGCACGTGCGCGCAAAATGACCTTGATTCCGCAAATCTACATAACATGCCTACTTACCCTAAAAAGGTTTCCCCTTAATCGGATGTGTACTTTACAAGATCATTCGCGGACAAAATTTTCCCGAGAAGAAAAATAATAATAATAATAATAATAAGAAACAGAGTAAAAACAATATGTTCCCCAACTTCGTTTGGGGAACATAATAAGAAACAGAGTAAAAACAATATGTTCCCCAACTTCGTTTGGGGAACATAACTATGAATTGTGCTTGATCATGAATAGCTAGCTTTATAATTACCAATGTTGCTTTTGCATGTTTTGCTTGAAATTGGATTGATGATTCTTGAGAAGTAGAAAATGTAAAAAAAAAAAAAAAATTAAAGATGGATAAGCAGACCAATGGAACAAGGATTCTTGCATGATTCACAAAGCTGAAAAGTTAGCTGACCAGGTGAGCTAAAAAGACATAACTTTGTTTTCAACAGATTGATACAAGATCAGACAGGTAATCAATGAGAGAGCATTTGTTTTCGCATAAGCGTTGCAACTCTCCCAGTTTCTGTCATCAATCCAATTAAAAAAAAATATTTTATACAGTTTCAGGATATATGTAAGCATTTTCTGTAATTAGTGAAACCATGCATTAACAATTAACTCGTACCAGAATTTTTTTTACCTAAAATCCAAGTGACAATGTTAAACAACTTAGCAATTTCTAAAACTCATTTCTTTAAATAATAAGTGGATCAAATCACTTACTTGGGGTTAGGGTTGAATTAATTAACAATTAAAACCTATACGAAATATATTATACTCGAGTTGTCAATAATCCGATAACCCCATCACGTTGCATCATAACATCATTTGTAAAATTATTTAAAAATGGACTTGTACGGAGATGATACTGAACCTGTAGACGGTGGTGAAGATTTATTCAAACCAGAATATAAAAGATACAAGAGAAAGGACAGGAAACTCGATCTGAGTGACGTCATTGACTTGACGAAGCAGACAAATATGGACAAGGTATCCATAATCCTTCTGATGCAATGCTAATAAATTAGGCCCTATCAGCAAAAAACATCCAGATTTACACTTGACAGTGCCAATGACCCGTGTGAATAAAAAAGAATTACAAAGTTTGACGTATAAATATATTTCAGAAAATATATGCATTAATAAATATTTCAAGAGAGATTCTTATTTTCTGACTTTCACATTTACAAAGGTGATTTCCCTTTGTGTGTGGGTCAATCCAAATCGGTGTAACCCAGTTTTCTCTCTGTTATACAGATCTTTACCTAAGAACTGAAATAGCTGGGGATAATAAAAAAGCAGGGATCTGGGGTTCCTCATGAAATTAAGGGTTGAGGGGAAATAACAAATTACATTATAGGCAGGAAAATAAATTGGATGCATTCTTGGTTCTTACTGCCTTGGTGTCAAAAGAGTTAAAGACAAAAATCAATTGAAATCAATTTGGATCCATATTCATAAGGCAAATTAAGAAAATTATGTGATTATGATTATCTGGCTCTTGATATTTATTTCCCCAACAACACTAATCTGTTTTCGAATTCTAAATTTTCAGAATTCTCTTTGAATAATTTATGCTAGCTTTATAAATATGAAATTCATTAATATACTTTACGAAATTGACAATTTTATTTAATAATTTGGGGAAAAAATAGTAATATATTATTTTTAAACACCTTCCTCCTTTATTTAAAGCGTAAATGTTGAGACTATTAGATGTACATTAATCCTCAGAATTCATAGACTTTGACTAAGGATAATATCTGTTAATATTTTTTTTAGGTGGAAGAAATAGAACTACAGGCTTCTCAGCATCCTGCAGTGAGGGGGTTAAAACCTCTGAAGGAATGGAAAAATTATTCAATCAAAGGTTTTCCTGGTAAATTTAAAACAATATAATAAAGCAATTTATAAATGTATTAAGAAAAAACAATGAAATAAAACATATATTATTAAATACATTTGAAATTTTCTACATGTGAATCTTCCAACACTTTATTCTAAAATTTATTTTCTAGCATTTTCAAGGTATCATTTTGTATATATTTTATTTATTTGTTACCATATAAATGTACCGTGAAATTGTTTTATTTGATACTCTTGTGTAATATGTTTCACCAATTCTGATCAGGTATCCAATCTTCCATTTGACTATTTTCTATGACTTTAGGACAGTGTAATATGACTCCATTCCAGTGCAAATTTTGTCTACCTTTATATATCTGATGATACAGGTTTTACTCTTTATTGTAATTTTATTAAAGGGTTCATCTTTATAAAGAATCCCTTTGAGGATGGACAACAAAGATACTGGATAGAGAGATGTGTCCTGGATTATCCCAACAAACCAAGCAAAACCATCTTAGATAACTTGGTAGACATGAGTGATATTGATAACATTTGGACCTACAGCCAGAATAAGTCTAAGTATGAAGAAATTTTAAAACAGTCTACTGTGTGAATGTATTATTATTTAGCATATTAATTAGTTTCATCACTGAAATAAATCATTTGAATTAGTATAAAAAAAACCGGATTATCAGTACTTTTAGTATTTCAAATAAAATGTTGTTTTACCTGAAATATACTGTAAAATATTTTCTTTTTTATAGTTTTTCCGTATTTTTATTAATCATCAAAGCAAAACAATCTCATTCTTTTACAATAAAAGTATGTCATTACATAGAAATATATAAAAATTAGATATATTGATTTAATAGTTTATTACAACAATCCTTACATGGAAAACATAGCACACAAATATCTTTTGAAGAATATTAATTTTGAATGTCAGTTGAAACCGGAGATCTGTTTTGAAGTCACCTTTGAAAAAAATATCAACATACTTTTATCGGTTATATCTAATCATGAGGAGAATTAAACCCGAGTATTTTTGTTTTCCATTAGTAGAATCCTAAGTCATGATATATCTTTTAAAAATTATGTTTAAATGAATATAATTTAGCAAATTTGTAGTCACCTGAGCCGAAGGCTCAAGTGAGCTTTTCAATCACAATTTACATAATTTGAACTTTTCACATTTTCGACTTCTTCTCAAGAACAAATCCGCGCTCTTGATGTTTGCGGCGGCATCCTTGGTGAAAGTATGTTCAAATTGTTAAAATAAACAGGTCTTTTTAAAATGAGGTAATTATGAGAAAGGTCAAAAAAATGCATACCCTCTCACAATTAAAGCCATCGATTAAACTAATCAAAACAAATCGTTCCTATTTGTAAACCATAGCGCAAGCCTAACGGTAATTGAATTAGGGAAATTTTCATTATACATATTACAAATAATCTTTAAAAATTATTATATACGTATTTAATATGAAAAATGTATTTTTATCCAGGTAACAATTAGCAATTATTAGAATCATGACCCCCGGGGGTATCGCCACAATAGGGAACCGTTTTACATAGAAATATATGCCAACACTAATATTAATTGATTATTTCATCACTGAAATAAATTATTTGAATCAGTATAGAAAAATTATTAAGATTATCAGTACTTTTAGTATTTCAAATAAAATGTTGTTTTCATTGCTAAATATATACTGTAACAAATCTTTTTTATCTTCTTTTTTCCACTATTTTTACCTTAAACTTATGTGGAGCATCAGATTTGAAGGTATTTATTTTCTTATAATATTACGACTTACGGGGTATATATAGGGATGGCATTTCACACAAAAATATATAAAACAATTCATATAAAAGAAATTAAAATTTCAAATTTTTTGGGCCAGGGTGAAACTTATTGGAAGCACATCCTTGCACTTTCACAAATTAATTATTAAAATCTTAATCCTTGGGGCCAAAAGTGGCAATCTTGTTGTGTATAAATGAAATATATAATACAAATCTTTAAAAATCTTCTTCTCAGAGTAGACACTGGGAAAGCAAAACAAATTCAAATATATTGGCAGCATGCAGTTGTGGTAGGCAGATTGTAAAGTTTTAAAATGCAAAAGGTGAATTGTAAACGTCAACAGAAACAGAACTTGTGCCCTGTTTACAAAAACTGTGTACATAACACAGTGTGCTCGATGTTGCTAAACTCTGTCATATCAATATGCATATTGACAGAATACTTGTGAAAATGAATTTTGCTTTTTTGAACATTTCTAGTTCTGAATAAAATCTATTTTTCTGGATAAAAGTTTTAATATTTCATGAGTTAAACACAACGATAAATTGCCAATTTTTCTAAGGTGATAAGGTTAAAATTTGTGAAACAAAGGATTATTTTTTGTGTGACCTAACAAAAAATTTTTTTAACTTTTTAATATCTTTAAAAGAGAAAGACTTTTTAATAATTTTTGTGACAAAAGTTGAAATAATATATAAGTCAATTATTTTTATAGAGAAAATATTGACTTCAAATCTGTGTCCAAGTACGGCTTTAAGTGAAATAACTTGTGAATGTATATATATGTATATATTATTGTTTGATTCATGCTTTTATTTCTGTTTTCAAGTTCAATTTGAGAGGAGTTGCAATAATGAATATTGGCACCACAGAAAATTTTCCTAGTTAGAGACATTATATTTCACAAACATTTCTAGGTTCTTCTAGTTTGTCTTTTAGCTTACTGTAAGATTTCATTTTAGCTCAGACATAACTGGAAAAGACAGTCTCATCATGAAACTTAGATGGGCAACTATGGGATACAATTATGAATGGAATTCTAGAGTAAGATACTGTATAAGTGGAAATTTTAGTGAGATACAAATTTAGCAATTTGTTCTTAAAAATTGGTATTTTATTTTCAGTGAGATGTAATTTTAGCAATTTTAAATTCATCCTCACTAGAGAAGCTATAACAAATACCATGCAATTAAATTTTAGCGATATTCAATTTTTAGCGATCTCGGCACCCTTGCTTATAATGCCAAAATTAAATCTTTGCTAAAAATTCTGCTTATCAATATCAAATGGATGTTTTACTTTAGTAAAGATTCTTTGCCAAAAATAAAACTGATGTTCAAACAGAATAAGATTATTCATGAAAATCAAATACATACATATATATTTCTTATTTATTATCAGGCCTACTATGATGAAATGAAATCGTCTTTTCCGTCAGACCTGCATGATCTTTGTCGCTATATAGCCTCTGCAGTAGGCTACCACGACTTCTCTGCGGAGACTGCCATTGTTAACTACTACCACATGTCTGGAGATATGGGCCCACATAAGGACATCTCAGAAATCGACCATGATGCTCCTCTACTGTCTTTTAGGTAAAAATTATGGAATTATCGGAATAATCTCAATGTATTTCTTTATTTGCCTGTTTGCTCTTATTAAGTGGCTAAGTGCCCTGGTATAGTTTGTTTATATCTGAGTATTCTAAGAGTTTGATTTCTTTGTTTGTTTGTGTTTTTTAATCATTTTTTTTTCTACCCAACCCTGATTCTTATTGTATCAGAAAACTTGATAGACACATGATCATGTTGAAAATAAAAATCTTTAGAAAATCATCTTGTGGTCTAATTATGATGAAAATCTTTTTTTTAATTTAAGCTTTGGTCAGGATGCTTTGTTCTTGCTTGGTGGAATGACAAAAGCCACGAAACCCGTTTGTCTATGTCTACATAGTGGTGATATTTGTATCATGTATGGTGACTGTCGACTTGTGTACCACGCCGTTCCTCGCATTCTGCCTGCCAGTCAAGATATCCTCAAACACTGTTACAATTTCAGCACTGTATCAAATAGTTGTGAAAACAAAATAACACCAGAAGAAAATGGCATTTCCTGTCAAGAAAAACTGGAAGTTAAATCAGTGGGGAGACAGGATGTGAACTGGGACTTGTTTAGTCAGTATTTACAGTGTACCAGGATAAACATGAATGTCAGACAGGTTTTACCTCCTGGGGGGACAAACATTGCAGATTACCCCAAGCCTGTCTGTCCCTCACAGAATGGTAGAGGGATAAAGAATTAGCAGCAACCACATGAAAAGGATTAACAAGAGAAGATATTCATATAAAATGATGTTTTGCTACTGTGATATTTTCTTGATTCGTTAATAAAAGCATTGAGTAATTTATGCAATTTTTATATTGTTATATATAAAAATATCAAGGAATTAATAGTTAAAAATAATGGAGCTAGAACATAAACATTAAATATTCTTTTAAAAAAACATGGTGATAACACCATATTTTAGAATAGCTCATTTGAAAAAGTAGAATGAGATGCAGGATCATGGGATCTGAACATCCCAAAATGTTAATGCATTGTCTACTGACAGAGTTAAAAATAGTTGTAAAGTTACTCCTTCTGACCACAGAAGTCTGAAGATTTTATCGTCAAAAAAAAAAAAAAAATCTGGAAAAAAATTTTCCCACCCTCATCTTTAACAAAAAAATCCAGAAAAATTTTTCCCACCTTCAACTTTAACAAAAAGGGTGGAAAAAATTTTTCTTCAACTTTAGTTAAGGGTGGTAATAATTTTATATATTTTTTTTATTTTTTACGATAAAAACTTCAGACTCCTGTGTTCTGACTTGTCACCAGTAAGAGTCTCAGATGTTTGAACTCTTACCTCTACGCTAGTGGCACAAAGCATTTTAGGCATAAGGAGATTTTAAATTGTTTAAATGAAGAAGAGTCCAGCCTTTTCCATTGGAGATGATTTTAAAAAATGGTTCTGTGGAAGCCTATTGAGGAGTGAAGATTCTAATTTTTTTTCAAAACATGAATCCTGGGGGCAAAGGTCAGGGGCAAAATTAGATAATGATATTACATTAAAACATATTTAAAACAAATTTTGAAAGAAAAAAATTTAAATTAAAGATCTTTTAATTCAAATAAATATTTTTTTCTTTTAAAGCTATATATTGTGCATATATGAGCTAAAAAATAAAAATACTAGATCAAATGTAGATTTACCTGATATTTGTTATTTATGTTCAAATTTGAACTTAAATATCCAAAGGTTTCTATAAATTTAAAGTTAAATTGACTTTAAACTGTGTCTGCTATTTTATTCCGAGCTGGAATTAAATTGGTTGTTTTAAATCTGTGATATCTATATATATGAAACACGATTGATTTTTTAAAATTGTGCAATTTAATTTATAGGAAAGTCCTATCTTCAAAAGAAACAAAACAAATGGAAAGGTCTTTTTGATTTTAGTTAGTATGAATTAATAAGAAATATGCCATATATGACTTTAAATTTTGCGCGTCCATTGCTTTTTACTCAGAAATTTAATTGTATCTATTTCAATTCACAATGTAATTATTTTAATTGAATCTTATCTTTCAAACTATTACAGGAATAATCTCTATTTTTCTTGAACAAACTAAATCAAGTACTATATGTTTATTATATCCAACTCTGATGTGATAAAAAAAAATGGCATTAAAATGTTATGCATTCCTGCTGAGGATGTAATTATATTTTTGACACCCTATATGGAAACTTTAGACTTTGCCCGCAGTTTGACATGTGGCTGGCTAAAACAGCATTTTAGTTCACCCCAGGTGTTCTGAATATAAATGTTACATTCCCCACTTGATGCCCCCTAAATCATAATGTAAAGTTTCAAAGGCGATTTCATTCATAGGGGTGTTTTGCTTAACTTACTTTTAACTAAGATGAAGTAATTAATACTTATATCATTACAATAGTTGAACTTAAACTGTTAAGAAAGATAAACTCTAATTTTGATACACCTTAGGCTTTGAAAGGTACTTGATCTTTGAGAAACATTGTCATGTTCCCCACAAAGTCCCTGATCCCCCCTTTTATATTGGAATCACCCGCTTGCGTCAGCCCGCCTTGATTAACGAGCACGTTGCCAGGAACCAGTCTAGGCAAGAAAAGAAGGACAGATAGCGAAGGACGAAGATGGCAGACCACAACACAAATAACGAAGAAAAAACGCCACTAAACGAAGCAGCAGTGGACCCAGATGTAGATACTAAGGCACAGTTTGTAAATGGAGGAAAAGTCGAACCACATGTCGCCATAGAATGTGGATCGGGAGACGACGTGAGTTTTACGGGATTGGGGAAGGAGGAGTTGATGCAATATGCAGATGATCCTTTCTGGAAAAGAGTACGACTTATCCTCCTGATCGTCTTCTGGGCGGGATGGATCGCTATGCTGGTAGCGGCTATCGTTATCATTGTCCTAGCCCCAAGATGTCCCTACAGGCCCGACCAAAAGTGGTACGACAAAGAGAGCGTCTATGAAATCCTCTCAGAATCTTTCCAGGACTCCAGCCCCAAGTCAGATGGCGCGCAGAAGGAAGGAGATGGATATGGAGATATTAATGGTATATTTTTGATAATTATTAAATATTTCAGTGATTTGGTTTGATAATTATTGCTAAACATTTGTGATCAGATTGGTTGCTCCATTGATTATTGAGGGTGGCCTTGCCCTTGGATGATGCAACATTCTGATCATGCTCTTGAGAAGTGCATTGTGCATAAATGAAATCGTGGATTGAAAAAATAACATAATTATTGCGTGATGCAAAAAATATTAGTCCTAGCTTATCATAGTAAAATAAATGAACAATTTTTATTTTTAAAAAAAATTGAATCGTGGAATTTTATGCCCTTTAATAAAATTTGTTGGGAAAACTTCAATTAGGTCCATGCTTCAATATTGGAAGGATCTGCCTGTTAAGGATATATAAAATAGAATATATTAACATAACTGAAATTAAGGAGAAACATACCAACCATTTTATATCTGTTACAGTATTTGGGATGGGAGAAATTCTTTAACAAATAAATAAAAAAAGAAGGTGCAGTGTGTTTGAAGTGCAGTAGGTGCATCTAATGAATCTGCTGATGCACCCACAATCTTGAGAATGTTTACCCCCCTAATATGCTTTATGACTTAAATGCCAAATCTCACAAGATCAGGGGCCCATTTTACAAAAGAACTTAAGACTAAGACCAAAATTTATCTTGCTTATAAATTTATTATTTGCATGAAATTGAAAATAGTTTTAAACTTTTTAAAAGGAATGTAGAAAGATATTTTCATGACAGTAAATGAGTAATTTTAAGCTCAATTAATAATTTTGCAAAATTTTACAATCAGCTCGAGTTTTTGGTCTTAGTCGTAAGTTCTTTTGTAAAATGGCCCCCTGAATCTTTGATCGAAGTCGACAGGTCTCATAATCCAAAAGTTATATTTCCCCTTAATTTTTCAGGTATTGCATCTCGTTTGAACTACCTTAAAGATGATGTCGGCAGTAAAGCTCTATACATCAACTCCATGTATGAGAGTGATGATAATAGTCGCATGGCAGTTGTTAACCACAAGAGTTTGGACAGCGTACTAGGAACCATGGCAGACTTTGATCAGCTCCGCAAAACCACTAAAAAGATGGAAAGTAAGTTTTACTCTATCAATTGAAAGCCACGTAGAAATCAAGTAATATTGTGGGGGGGGGGGGGGAATGAAGGGGGAAAAAAAGAACAAAATGAGATGGTCTTCTGCAGCTTTTCTTGGACCCAGTAAAAGGGACTTTTACTTGCTAAAGATAATTCAAATTTTTGTGGCAATTGAACTGCAAACATTTAAGATGCCTCTTAAGCAAACAATGAAATCCTTTGTCTTGTAGATAATTTTTATCATGAGTAAGAGACGCATATCTGTCACTTCATGAAATTTTTTTTTGTCACTTTACAGTGCGCCTTATCATGGACTTCATTCCTAACCACACTGGGAAAAAACATGAATGGTTTGTGAAGAGTCAGCAGAAAGAAGGGAAATACACAGACTACTACGTCTGGGCTACATGTAATCCAAATGACGGAACCTATCCCAACAACTGGGTATATCTCAATTATTTTCTGAAAAATAACCCTTTTGCTAAATTTCTGTAGTGTAATGGTAGTCCACTTGTAATTGAATGATAATTTTACTGAGTGAAATTCAATCTGTGTTTACTAATATATAAACTTATTTGTTCACCAGATGAGTGTGAAAGGCAACAGATCCTGGACATATGATGCCACTAGAAAGGAATGCTACCTCCATCAACTGGAGAGCGACAAGCCAGATCTGAACCTCTGGAACGCAGATGTCAAGCAAGAATTGGAGGTACGTGAATGCATTCTAAATTGAAATAAAAGAAGTCCTTTCATAAAAGAGTAAAGGGGACGGGTAATGAAACATGTCATTTATTTTCAACAGGGTATCCTACGTTTCTGGCTGGACAAAGGAGTGGATGGGTTCCATGTCTTGAATGCCGAGTATTTGTATGAGGATGAAAGTCTTGCTGATGAAATTCTGATGCCTGGAAAGTCGGGGAATGTAAGGAACTACACATTAAATTTTATTGAAAGAGTATACTGTTCAAAGTTGTATTTTAAATGATATGACATTTTTATTTGACATTTCTTTGTAGGCATATGATGACTTTGAGCACAACCAAACTATGAACCATCCAGAGAATCTGAAGCTTTTGACTGCCTGGAAATCTGTCCTTGAGTCCTACAATACCAAACCAGGCAGGGAAAAGGCCCTTATTGTAACAGCTAAGGATGATTTGAACACCACCATGCAGTACTTTGATGCCGGAGCCACCATTGTACGAGTCACCCCCTTTGCAGACAGCAGCGCATCATTGGCTGAAAGTATTGAGACCAAACTTACAGACTCCAATGCCAAGAGAATTGGATGGATGGTGAGAAACTCCTATATTTAAGCTATTATCTTTCTTGTTTGTGCTTACAATAAAAAAAGAGATTGGAAAATTTAAGTTTACCTGTAAAAACTAATGTTTTGGTATTTCTGTTTTCAGTATAGCAATAAAGATTCCAGTCGTCTTGCAAGCAAAGTCAAACCCGAAGTAGTGAAAGCTTTGCTAACTCTTCAAGCTACCTTGCCTGGAGTTTCTTTCAATTACTATGGAAACGAGATAGGAATGACTGACCATCCATCATTACCAGTGCCAAATAAATACAGAACTCCCATGCAGTGGAATTCTAAGGGAACAGGGTTTTCAGAGCATACCAAATGGCTTGCACAAAATCCCAACTTTGCGGATGTCAATGTTGAGGTAAGAAAATATTATGAATTTATCTAGGCTAAAGATGATAAAGGGAACGATAATGAGGTATTAACTAGATTGAAGAATTTGCGAGTTATTGTATATCTTAATTTTGTACATTTACAGTCGGAAAAAGCTGTGGGAGATGAATACACCACTCTGAAGGTCATGGGAAGACTGTCAAAACTTCGTGAAAATGAGTCCTTCCAGTGGGGAGTTATGAATGTTTTCAGAGATAAGGATCTCATAATGTTCACAAGAAAGGCAGAGGGATTTCCAGGCTATCTGGTTGCCATGAATCTTGGATCCAAGAGGGTTACAGAGTCTTTCCATGGGGCCACTGGAATCCCCAAGGAGGTTAAGGTGGTGTTCCACACCCACAAGGATGATAACACTGCCATCAATCTGTCTGACAACTCCTACATTCTGGAAGCAAATCATGCAATCATTTTGGAATATGCCTAAATTTGTATTTTCTATTGCAATTTTCTAGAAACCAATTTTTTTTTTCATTAATATATTTATTTAAAAAATTTTCTTTGGAAATTTGTACTTAAAATGCATGAAGAGTGCAAAAAATAAAAGTAATGGAATGAAAAATTCAAACAAATTGCATCAATTTTCAGGAAATAAATATTTGGCAGTAATGTTTTGTTTGTTTTTCAATACATGTATTGACCCATTTGCAAGAAAAAGGCAAAGGGTATATGTTAGGTCACCCGAATCACCCTTGGGTAAAGGGGCACAACAATTTGGAATTTCATGCTTTCTCCTGAGGGATGGGACTAAAACCATCAAAATAAAAGAAAACTTGATTTTCCAGAAAAAGCATGATTTTAGAATTCTTGAACCATTTGCTGAAAGTGGTGAATTCATCACCACATGATCAGGGATTATCAGTAAGGATGGCACTTGAATGAGTATAAAGTGAAAATGCCAAAGAAAGTAAAAGCCATCGATGCAAACCTCGGCAAACGTGATGATGGAGAGAATTGATGTGAATCACCCGTGGGTTACCGATGATGATTAAAAGCTGTCTTCCATACGATATATTAAACAATAAAATGCTTTGTTAGTATGGGAATTAAGTTGCTGCTGTTGCAGAAAAAATACTAAGCAGTTTATGTAATTTTTTTCTATAATGGCTGTGACATTAATTTCAATACTAACATGCAAGAAAGACATTTTATTGTTATACCCCAGCAAACGAAGTTTAAAGGGGGTATATTGGAATCAGCATGTCCGTCTGTCTGTCTGTCTGTAGACAAGATTTTGTCCGGACCGTTTCTCAGAAACTATTGGATGGATTTGTCTGAAAATTTGTACACTTATTATTCACCATATGAAGTTGTGCACCTGGTATTTTCATTATGATTGGATAATTTTTCTGCATTTTACAGGTGTTTTTATTCCCCCTGCAAACGAAGTTTATGGGAAGCATCTGGTATAGTTGGAATCACCATGTCCGTCTGTCTGTCTGTAGACGAGATTTTGTCCGGACCATTACTCAGAAACTATTGGAAGGATTTGTCTGAAAATTTGTATACATATTCACCATATGAAGTTGTGCACCTGATATTTTCATCTTGATTCGATTATTATTTTGAATTTTACAGGTGTTTTTTCATTTTTATTTTGTGGTTTTGTCCGGACCGTTTCTCAGAAACTATTGCAAGGATTAATCTGAAAATTTGTACACTTATTTTTCACCAGATGAAGGTGTGCACCTGGAATTTTCAACTCTTTTTGTTAATTTTTTTGCATTTTACAGGTTTTATTTTTTATTTTAATTGACTTGTTCATTTTGGGCTCATGTATAAGGTTTGAGATATAGAATCTAGAATATCTGTTCAAAAATACTACAGCTTAAAACTACTCATAAAAACTTAAAAAAAAGAAACATCATCAAGTGTTAAAAACAGTTTTTACATTGCACAGAAGATAATGTAATTTCATTTGTCTCTTGGGAATAATGACTGGACATGCATCCAGTTAAAGATAAATTAATGAGTTTGGTGTTGGAAGTTGTTAAGGCATATCTCTTATCAAGCGTGTGTGTTATCTAATCTCCAGGGAATAAGGCACAAGAATTAAAGATCTCTCTTCTCTTATTCTCTTAACTGTAATTTATTGTCTGTCAAAGCACTTCATTACTGGATGACCAGCTCTTTATTTTCAAAATGCATTTCAAATTGATATATCAAGATTAATTTGATTTTGTATTATGTTTTTTTTTAACAATCAGTTTGCAGAGTGACATAACACATAATTGCAATATATTTTTTTAATGCAGAAATAAAAAAAAATAAAATGAAAAAATAAAAAAAAAATGTTACAGTGGGATTACAATGTATTAGTATTGATGTTTCATTTGGTTGCACTTCTGTTTCATTCATTAAGAAACATGATGAGCAATTATATTTTACTGCAAATTAATTTTAAAGTAAATTGTGAACACCTCTTGATCCATAAAGTATTTTTGAATTGGCATCTTCTCTGAAAAACCCAGCGGGGGGTATTTGTCCCTATTGGACAGTTCTAGTTTCTTTTTTATTTTATGGTTTTGTTTGGCTCATAACTAGAAAACTATTAGACTGACAATCATCAAACTTGGACAGTTTATGCATCTTGGGTAGAAGTAGTGTCACGACCTATTTTAAGGTCACCATGACCTTTAATTTAAGTGAAATTTTAAAAAGAAACCTGTCTTTTACTATTGAATTACACAATCCCAAAAATGTAAGAGTGTTTTTGTATCCCTGTTGAAAAAATGTTAAATTAAGAAAATAATATTTTTTCATTATATACTTTACAGCAATCCTTAACAAATGTTATTTTATAAGAGATAATCTACCTCTCCCAAGGGTATAATTATCAAGCACTGGTCAAGGAGAATTTTGATAACAGAAAATTGCATCCCTTGGCATTTATTAGTGGACATGCAACCAGTCAAAGATTAATTAATGAGTTCAATGTAGGAAAGCTAGCTGTCTCAATCATTTCTGTTAGCTGTTATCTCTGATTAAGGTCCTTTGGGAATTAGACAGAGGAACTTCTGGTCAGTTTAAATAGCATAAGTCATTTGATGGCCAGCCTTCTATTTCTAAAATCAATTTGCTATAGATTAAGTTTTTAATACTAATTAGTTAAATTGATATATTTTAAAAAAAAATTTAAAATATCAAGTAACAAATTTCAGAGCATCATGTCCCACATGAAAGATATATGCATATGTGTTTGTTTGTGGGGGAGGAGCATTTGTCAAGCTATAATGCAACCATTTGATGATTATTTGTTACAATTAATGCTTACACCACAGGAGATGTTTAAACAAATATCAAAAGGAAAAAAAAATTATGGAAATCCTTTTAAAGGTTGCCATGATTTCCTCACACTCTAAACTGTTTATATTAATTGAATGAACAATATTTGACTGGAGTATCATGCTGTGTTGGGCACTTTATTATTTTTAAAGTGAATTTGATATAAAGTTATAAAGATTAATTTGATTCTGTATAATATTTCTTTTTTCAACAATTCTTTTTCAGAGTAGCATGACAAATAATTGCAATTTCTTTTTTTAATGAAATAAAAAAAAAAAAACTGTTACAGTGTATTAGTATTGACATGATTGATGTTTCATTTGGTTGCACCTTAGATTCATAAAGTGAAAAAAATTAATGAGCATGCAATTATATTTTCACCACAATTATATTTTCACTTGATTTGTTTTAAGAAAATAGTGAACACCTTTTAATAGATCCATAAAATATTTTGTGAATTGGTACCTACTCTGAAAAACACAGCGGGGATATTTGTCCCTATTGGACAGTTCTAGTTTATATTTAAATATTTTATTGTTTATATTTAAATATATTAAAAAACAACATTCAATTGAAGAAAAATATTAAATATTGTATATTAGTTTAGATAGCTTTAACTACTAGCTTAATTGATGGAAGAACGATTGCTTAAGAAGAATAAGAAATCTATGCAGGTGGCTTCCTCGATGGCATTTACAGACTGAAAAATAGCAATGGTTTTCATTAGAAATAAAGGAAACAAGCAAATTCAAAGAATTGTCGTCCCCCACTTTTGGGGTCTTTGTCACAGTACTGTATGAAACTAGCGCCTGTGGTCTTTTTGTGTGATATGTCTTTTTTTATGGCATATTGTGTTAAATTTGAACGCCCTTTCATATATAATTCAGAAGTTACCATGGAAGTAGATATTTTTGAAAATTAGGTCAATCTTCAAGGTTAAGTGGTCAGATATAGTAGCATGCTCGGAAATAGGACAATTCCCAGTTTAGCTTGGACTTTCAGTAAGGCGTAGCATTCTCGATGTTACATAATTAGCTAGTATATAGTATATTAGTATATAGGTCCCTGGTTTACTTGAAGATAAATTGATGAAAAAAGATAAATAAAAATATCTTTGGACCCAGGGTGTATATGGGGGGGGGGTCCTTTTCACAAGCACCTGTGGGTTGCTGCAATAATTATATTTTTTTTTATATGGGTAATACTAGGTCTCTGGTCTGTCAATATTTTTTTTTATTCGGAGAGCTAGGGTTCTGCTACGGTTTCTCATAGCAAAAATGGACTTTGCCATTTTACTCCAGAAAGGGCATACCCATTATGCCAACAAAAAATTCTGTGAAACCTTTGAATAAATTCGATCACTGGAACTCTTTAAGAATTAATCTAGTTCAAGAAATGCAGTTTGCCAATATACTAGCGCTCGTATTGGAAAGTTGTGGGTATCATAAACTCTTGTGTGCCAATTTTTTTTTCTTAAATCTGCCAAATGGGAGGTATTGAAATGATGGTAAAGTGTTAAATTCAATTCCTTAATGGGTGCATTTAAAACACTTGCTAAGTTCACATAATCTATGCTAATTAAGCTTAAGAACAGAACGTCAATGCAAATCTACTTCTAGAAAGGATTAAATGCTCGAGATTACCATGTACTTAGATAAGCGTAGGTTGAAATATTAAAGGTATTAAAGTGTTTTATTACCACAAGACACACAATGTTGAATTACACCAGTTTTTTTGTGATGGAAATATTCAGTGATATTCAATAAGTTAAACACTAAAATATAACTTATAGAACAATGATGCAAACAACGCCTTTTACGGTCGTTGGGTATCAGCCTGAACTACCAAGAGCTCAGACATGTGGCGTGAATTTCAGAATACATCGACTGGCAACCGATACCGATTTGCGAGAACAGATGAAATGGTTCAGGAACACACACTTTCCGGAGAAGAGACAACCCATTTTCACTAGCCGAATACATGGCGACATTCGTCCAACTAGTCTGGAGCGACAGAAGACATTCGCAGGACAAACCGCGTACTCGGTGGGAGAGGATGTGTTCTCGATATCCGGAACCCGACTGGACGTGTCACCGGAAAAACCCATCAGACCAAAGCTCTGGTCTCAGGAGGTATCCCGGTCTCTTCCCACCGTGTCTGAGTGTTACACCCCTCCCTCCATGCCTTCCCGCCCTCCCCCAAAGCGAGCCAACCTATCCATCCGTCGGTCGCATACAACTGTTGGTGTTACTAGTACTAAAGAGAGTTTGGAACTAAAGTCAAATCGTCGTCTTAATCACACTGGAAGTGAAAGTAAGTTGCCC